TTAGGTTTAATTACAGGTGAACTGTTTATGTTAGTACAACTTACTGATGTGTGTCTCTACCTGCCGAGTGCCCTTCTGAGCCCACTGTCAGGTGGCAGGTATGAAAGAATGTATCCAAAACAGTGTGATAGCAAGTGTGGCAAAAAGCTTTGTGGGAAAGAAGCGAGCTTGTTTGTTCTTCTCTCAACTGTTAGTGATAATGACTCATGCGTTGCTTATAGCTTCCAAAATACAATAGAAATAGATCAAAAAGCAACTGGGAACTCTGCTTTCTTTATGAACAGATGAGGAAAGGCTTAAAGAAAAAAAGAGGAGGCAACACATCTTAGGACTTGAATCAGACAACTGCAACAGCAAGTTTGACCAAAGGTGAATGAAGAATCATGTTAGGGGGTGACCATGACTTTTAGTTGACTCTGATGTTGTCTTTGGCTGATGCCAAAGGAAAGATTTGGAAAAAGGAACATGACTGATTTGATGCCTGCTTAGTGTTTACATATCCTGTTCAAGCTTTACCGTGCCCATGTCCTCTGTGGTTTCCTTCAGGGAGAGCATTGTGTAAGCTCATCTTTTCTGCTATCCTGCTGATCCAGGCACATTTGTTCTTTGGGAAGCCGGGAAACTGAAGAAAATGAAACCTTCAGCATTAGACAGAAGGAGCAGTTTGAGTGAGTAGCTCCCTGCGGCAGAAGATCTTGTGAATGCAAATGCTGCTCTTAGTACTGAGGCATATCATGCCTGTTTATCATTCTGCTCACATAATTGTTTTGAAAGTTTAATAATATGAAAGCCTTATTAACACAACTGCGTTTCAGTCAGATACAATATTTATCCGTGGGGGATTACCACATCTTTTGTTTGCTTGTGTTTTATACTTTAATATCTACTTTTTTCCAGTGTGAGAAGGTTTGCTAAATGGAGAACTTCTATTTAGAAGTATAACTTAGCTATGAAAGGTGAGTTAAGGTGGTGGAAAAGCACTGGCAACAAAAGTAGTCAACAGAGTGTAATCTCGTCTTTTTCTGCATTATTTTTGTTTTGTATTGTCTTAATTTGATCTCTGAATATCTGTATCCTTCTGCTTGTCTGTTTGCAGTGTAAACATCTGGATGTGTGTATCATCATTGCAGTGGATTATCTGATACAGTTAGGTCTCAGACGAGATCACCTGTTACTAACAGCGATCTTAGAACGTTGCACAAACAGTAGAAGTGTGTTTCGCAGCCCTGTTATGAGACGCAGTGGAGAATTACTTGTTTTCCTAGTTATTAAATCAACAGACAGCTAACTGCCTCGCCTGAGATGACAGGAGGGCTGTGGATTATGTGGAGGAACTAAGCAGCAGCTAGACCTCCAGACTCCCAAGTCTGTGCAACCCCAGATACTCCCTCCAGCCACTTCAACCCAAAAACTGAGGTATCGGAACGTGTAACCCGTCTCAAGAATGGAGAGAGCAATCGTTGCTGTGGGTGTGATACTGTTGGTTGCTTTTTTACCTTCAGCTGCTGCTGCATGGCTATTCTTGGCCTTAAAATGGAGCAATAGCTTTGCTGTTTGCTCTGAACCCAAGCTCCAGCTGAGTCAAGCGGAGCTTTGAAGGTTTTCATGAGGGTAAGCTGAGGGCACTGACTATAAGAAGACTTTTCTTTCCTCACTAAAAACCTAGGCATCAACTTTGAATACAGATAATGAGAGGTAACTTGAAGGATGACACTGAGACAGTGAGTCTTTGAAACAGCTTTCTGTGCCAAGCCTGCCACTTCTCAATTATTCTGTTTCTACTTCTTTGTGAGTTGCAGCCTGTGGAGAGATGCCATGTTGAAGTCTCTGAAGCCCGACCTTCCACGTCACCTTTAATTGAAGGTTGGACCGGGGTCAGATTCAGCCAGAGCATAACTACAGACAATCACTAATTTTCTATAATGCCACTGCTTCCCCAGAATTGAAGCTTCTGTTACACACACATTTCTCCTACCTTCTCTGATTTCTAGCACTCAGGATTTCAGAAAACAATTCAGTGTGGTGCTGAGTTGAGTTTTCAGCAATCTTAGAAAAATAGTTCTGTCAAACAACAGATACCTTTCTTCTCAGTGGGTAGCATTTTTGAACTTAACAAACAAGGTCACTTCATTTTAATTGGAATATCATTGAGGATTTGGACAGAAGTGCCTTCGCAGTTTCCCAGTCTGCATAGTGGCAAATCAGCTTTGAGCAGTGACAGTTTTAAAGTCGGTTGGAAAATCTTTAATGGGAAAATTGGTACAGTAGTACCAGTTGTGCTTCTTAGAGAAACGTGTATTGTTAATGATTAGGTTACATGGTTACAGGCTTGTCAAGCATTTGCAGCAAAGCCAGAGAAAAATCACACCATGCAGGCAGAACAGAATAATGAATGAATCATGTTTTTGAGGCTACTTGCTCTAAAACACGACAGTAGCTGCTAATGAAGTTTACTGATGAGACAAAATTGGAAAGCAATATCAAAACACAGGAAGACTGAAACATTGTACAAGAAGTACCACATAACCTTGAAGACTGGAGGAATAGAAATAAAGTGCTGTTTGGTGTTATTCCATGTAGTGGACTAAGAAAAAATATTGGTTTGAGGAGTTTTGAAAGGGTAGAGAGAAACCATTTGGGTATGGTTGCCAGCAGCTTATGTTCAGGAGACCAGCAGTTAAGCGTGTCCCAAATGAAGACAAACCAAGTGTTACATCTCTAGTTGCTGTTTGGAAGAACATGGAGGAAGCTAATGCTCAGCAGAGCTCTGCCATGCAAGCAGATCACCAACAAAAACCAAACAAGTTTATTTGAAGCTTGGATTCCCTTGCTTGTAGTAGCAGAGAACACGAACGCGTGATTCAAGGCTTCCTTTCCCACTGTATTATCAGTTATTTTCTCAGAATCATAGTTAAAATATTTGCAGGCTCATTTGCTGTGAGTAATACTTTTCTCTGCTGAAATGTAACAACCTCCAAGAAATCTGAGAACAATTTTAAAGTGAAATTACCAGTTAGGTCAGTTCTCTAGGATGTGCCAGTACAACCCTGCCTGATTTGCTAAGCAATAAATATAAAGGGAAAGGCTGAATCTTAATGAGACTACTATGGATGATTTCAACCAGAAGATTTCATCCCCCTGTACTCGGCACTGGTGAGGCTGCACCTTGAGTCCTGTGTTCAGTTTTGGGCCCCTCACTACAAGACATTGAGGCCCTGGAACGTGTCCAGAGAAGGGCAAAGAAACTGGTGAGGAGTCTGGAGCACAAGTCTTATGAGGAATGGCTGAAGATTGTTCAGTTTGGAGAAGAGGAGGCTCAGAGGAGACGTCATTGCTCTCTATAACTACCTGAAGGGAGGTTGTGATGAGGAGGAGTTTGGCTTCTTCTCCCAGGCAACGAGCAGGACCTGAGGAAATGGCCGCAAGTTGTACCAGAGGAGGTTTAGGTTGGACATCAGGAAGAACTTTTTCTCTCAGAGAGTGGTCAGGCACTGGAATGGCTGCCCAGGGAGGTGGTGGAGTCACCATCCCTGGCAGTGTTCAAGAGGCGTCTGGATGAGGAGCTACGAGATGTGGTTTGGTGCTTGTGGTAGCAGTGGTGATGGGAGGACGGTTGGACTGGATGATCTTGCAGGTCGTTTCCAACCTTGTGATTCTATGATTCTATGATTTCTGAAGTGCAATGTCTGCTAGTCTGCTCTAGGCAGAATCTTCAGCCCAACTCCCCAAAGGTACAATGAGACTGGCTGACGATCTGGGAGAACTAGCTTGTGTGTTGAGCAAAACTGAAATAAACTGAAATAACCTGCTGCAAAGGTTTCAGGGCTGTCTATCCTTTCAAAGAGTTGACTCCTCTCCTGTTTGTAGGCTCCCTTTAGGTACTGTAAGGCTGCAGTGAGGTCACCCCGCAGCCTTCTCTTCTCCAGGCTGAATGAGCCCAGCTCCCTCAGCCTGTCTTCACAGAGGAGCTGCTCCAGCCCTCTGATCATCTTTGTGGCTCTCTTTGTGGTCCTGTGGAAAAAAACCACAATTGTTCCTTTTGGGTGCTAAAGGATGCAGTGTATTCAAAACATATTAAATAAATGCATGTTATTCAGCAAGCACCCGTGAAAAGGTAGTTCCCTCTCTTTGTGTTTACAAGCTAAGAGTATTCTAATGGACTTAATTCATGAGTCAGTGAACCATAACTTTGCAGATTTCTTCAGAAATGTAGCTGAAGTGATATCAAGGTGACAGCAGCTCATACAGACTTTGAAAAACCATCATTTGTAATGAAAATAATTGTCTTCCCTTAGCCAGTTGTAATGCGGCATCTGTTTGAAGCTACTTATCTAGTTTTAGTTAACAATGAAGTTTTTCAGTCAAATGCCTGTCTTAGATGACTCTTTCCTCCCTACTTTCTCCTTAAATTTCAAACAGAGCTGTTCATTTCTCTCCCAATATGAAAAGAGAATAGGTTGTTCTTAGCTTTAAAATACTGGCAGCAACTTATCCGAGATGCTTAGATGCTTTTATGCTTTTTCAGCCTGGCAAGAAGATAGACAATGAGCCAGGAATGTACCTCATGCCTGTGAAAGCCAACCCAAATATGGCCAAGTCTTACGACTTTGAAAAAGAATCTCGCTTCTTTTCTTCTGGGGAGATGTACTGAACTTCAACAGTAAAATAAAACGACGGGTGATGGAGACAGGGTGAGAAGGTAGTAGGAGGAAGGGGACATGAGCAGGAAACTGGGACTGGCCCTACGAAGGTGTTGGAATGGCTGTGGGGGAGTGGAGACATTTACCTAAATAGTCTGGTGTGTGTGGAGGTAAATGTATGGGACAAACAAAAAGGAGATGACAGCATGTATGGGAAGTGAGAAACTAAGACCAAGTAGGAGCGGTTCCCTCTGGGGCTGGAGATTTCAGTTCTGCTTCCACATTGTTACAACAGATTAAGAAATGTTATGATGTAAAGAATAGAAAGCTGTAGAATAAGTTAATGTTTTCTGTCTTCAGGTTTGGCCAACGTACAATGAAAAAGGCACTGGGATACGCATGAAAAAAGAGGAGGAAAAAGAATTTGAGCTGCTATTTCTATTAAGAATGGATTACTGAGGTACCTAAATTAACATTTTGTACATTCACCATGACTAGATTTGTATTTCAAAAGGAGATTTACCTTGCTAAGGATTCAGATTACCTAAATTTGGTGCATAAAACCAAATGACACCTATCCCTTAAGCGAGTGATGTTGTTTTGTAAACTAAATGAAGCAGGGATCTGTGGAAAACCAGCACTAAATCACATAATTAAAATCCATTATAGGGTATCTGCAAAGAGCACTAATTAAAGTGGCGCAGCTGACATTCACTTTGGCATTTCCTGGCTTTTGAATACTTAGATATGCAAATTTCATTAATATTCTTCTTACACATTTAATTAATGTTGTCTATGGTGCATATAGTGGTAGAATCTGGAACATCTGGGCAAGGACTGTAAGTCTGTGCAGTCACAGCGCTGAGTATCTGTCGAAGTTCTACTATCTTTGGCTGAGCAAAGAAAGCTGGGATGTGTGATGGTTGTTTTCAGAACGCTGATAGCAGGAGGCAGCCCCTCACTTGTCCATGTCTGTGCTTTTCAGAATAGGAGATGTGTTATCTTTGGACTGTGCTGTGTTATGGCCTTAGGTCTCTAAACTTTGTAGTGATAAGGGTGGTTAGTAGTAATTTGTAATAGAAAACCTTCTGATCTCCTTAAGGCCAACCAATGCTTGTCAGAACTCCCCAGCTGGATGTTATAGGCTGAGTGTTGCTAATGGACAATGGAGATTGTCATTTTGTTTCATTAGAAACGCCTGTGGGTTTGGAGACATCCATTCTTCTTTCTTCTTCCCACAGAGCTCGAAGTGATTTGGGCATGCAGTAGTGACCATGAACATTTCTGGCTTCTATGCATTTCTTAACAGTATTAGATAAGCTGCTTGGCTTTGTAACAGAAAACAGCTCAACTCATCTTCTTTGAAAACACTTGAGTGGCCAGCACTCGTCTCATCAGGCAGGCAGGCAGTCAAGGACGGTCTGGCTGTCTCATTCTTTGTGCTGCAGTCCCATCTGATTGAGCTGGGGGAACAGAGCTTTCTCAGGTCAGGGAGCTTGTCTGAGGAGCTCGCTCCCTGTGGATGCCTGCCATCATTCTGCTGTAGCTGTCTTCAGGTCCCTGGGCACAGCTCTTCAAAGTCAGTGCATTTCTTGGCAGCTCTGGCTCTGTCTTCTCCGAGGTGATTTGGTGTGGTTGGTACAGAGAGGCTGTGATGTCCACTTAGTTTGGTACCATATGCTAAAAGCCTGGATAAGAGATTGAGTTAAAAAATAAAAATAAAAAATAGTGGCAGGTTTGTGTGCTTGCGTGGAAGGCTGTAGAATGACACCTGGGCTGACTGGTCAAATACATATGTGAGCTTGAGATTGGCAGGGGAATTTGGCCCAGCATGCAGGCATGTGGATGAGCAGCAGGATCAAAACTTTCCATTCCAATTGAAATAACAAGACAAGTCATCTCACGCACTCTGACAAACTTTGGTTTCGTCAGCAGCCTTTTGATCAGTGGTTAAGTACCAGTCATCACACTTTAAATGATTACTTTGTTACACAAGGGAGAAATGCTAGTGTTGATGTCTGAAATGACTTCCCCCTGCTGTAGGTGACACCACAGCAAATAAAAATAGTGGGCATAGCAAGCAAAAATGTTATCTTGCAACCAAAGTGCAAATAACACTTCAGTGCTGTGATTTCACTGTCATGTAATGCTTTATTTGGGACTACATTGCAAGCAGAGTGGAAAATTACTTCCAAGAAAACCTGAATCTCTGTGGAGTAGAAGTCTCAAACGTTCTATTTCTTGGATGCTCTGCAGAGCAAGCTGCAGTTTAGTGAGTAGGCCTCTCAGACCCACTAATCTGACCTTGATGGGAGTGAAAGGCTTAATGGCAAATCTGGGGAATTTAGAGTCAGGTGATGAGGCAAAAAGTAAAAGGAGGAAACCTAGATAATATCAGCACAAGGGTGTAGACTTATTTTACAAAGTAACTGATTTTTTACAAGAAGAATGGAGTCTTTCAGGCCTCCAGTGAAATAGTTGACACACTGCCAGAAAGAAAAGGGAGTCAGCTTTTAGTGAGGATGACATCAAGAATAGTGACAAAAACAAGTAGGTTCTAATTTCCCTACTTAGGATTTTTCATGACTGTGTCCCTGAGCCTATTAAAGTGTTGTGTGCCACGTGTTAGCAAGGCCAAACTAACAGGTTGAAAAGGAGAGACACATGATAAAAATATAAATAGCAAAGATGCTTAACCATATCCTGGGATTGCTAAGCTCCAGTCACCATGAATGTGAAGGCTCTGCATGGCTTTGGAGCTCTGTGTCATTTGGATGTGCAGGATTGACCGTGATCGAAGGAAGTGAATGAGTACTTGCACAGTGTTGCTGAAAGTGGTCTTTGGCAAATGCATATTGCACTGTCTACATAATGCCTACAAAAGGTCAGTTTTCTATTACAAGTAGAGCAAGACTTCATGAGCTTGTTTGGGAAATACTTTGTGGAGTGGATTGAAGAGAGAAATTTTTCTGTCAGGCTTGGATTTGTCTATCAAATTTATATACCAATATAGATATCCTTTAAAAGTGCCCTGGGAAGTAGACAGAAAATTCAGATTCCTTGTTTGGGCTGGGTGGTTCCCTTCCAGTTTTTAGATTGAGCTAAGCACCAGACAGGTAGGCTGAGACAGTCAGAAGGGAAAGGTTCAGTGTGCTAAGAATCATAGAATCATTCAGATTGGAAAAGACCACTAAGATAACCTGTTCCTGTTGACCCATCCCCACCTTGCCAACTAACCATGCTCCTGAGGGCCACATCTACACAATTCTTGAGCAACTTCAGGAACGATGACTCCATCACTTCCCTGAGCAGCCTGTGCCAATAAGAGAAGAAAATTTTGGCAGCAGTCTAAAGAAGTTTTCCAGACAAAACCAAGTTTTCATTTGACAGTGACTGACCAGCAAGGAGACTTGTTCTATAGCAGGAATCTGCTAGTAGCAAAGAAGTAATTTAAGCTGCATTTCTGATCACCCTGAACATCTGTAAAATTGCAGTTAATGAAAAACAAGCCAAAACAAAACAAAAAAAAAAATCACCTGGAAGGCTAAAACAAGGGAGAACAGATTGAAATAGAAAACTTCCCATGCAGTTTCTGGTGTTGCTTTCTGACCCAATTTATTTTCAAGCCCTTAGGTTTGTGCTTTTAAATTTATTTTGTCTTACTAAGTGGGCCTTACAGCCCGTGATTGTGATCTTATTAGTCATAATATTACCTCACAGGGTTTGGGGAAGAAAAAAAAAAGGAGAATGTATAGCCACTGGCAGTCTCTGATCTGAGCATCCTGTTTACTTTTTTTCATTTTTCCCCACAAATATTCTGTTCTGCATCTCCTTATTATGTATGAGAACTCTGCTGCAGGAAATTTACTTCATGTAGTAGGGGTGAAGCACACACATTTCTTTTTTAGGCTAATGAAAGCTTAAGTGTTCTTACTAGCTGTTTGAATATAGTGGTATGTACTCTGCAGTTGATTTTATTTCTGTTTCCACTAAAATGCATATGTACATGAGGTGCAGAACAAAATAGAGGTTAAGAGGAAAGGTGATGAACTCTTGACATCCATATCATAAATGACTATGGAGGGCAGTGGGCAGAAGATGATCAGGCCTCTGTAATTAGTGTTCTAGTGGTACCCATGAGCCATTCTGAGACTGACAAAATCTTCAGATGAAAGCCTTGATCTTGGCCTGTACACATGTGTGCACTCTGGGCTTTCCTTCTGCACATTGGGCCAGATGCTGTCTCAGCAAGCACAAGCAGCTCTGGCTCCTGTATTGCTCTTAACTCTACTCAGGAGACTGGAGCAGGTGTTCCTTTGCATCCACTGAGGGCTCCTGCCCCAAGCACACCTGCCCTACAAAGGATGGAGCTGATTTGAACACACGCCCAACAAACACGGTTATGCATCAGGAAACAAGAAAATAACCCAGGGTGTGGAGCAGCATTGCATGTAAGCAGTCAGATTGCTTAGCCCAAAACTACTCAGCTCCCTTTCCCTGGGCTGTGCCTTAGCCCTTAGGCTACATTGTCTCAGGCTTCGTTTTAGCCTAATGGTCTCTAAATTTTTTATTACACTGTGGCAAAAACTCAGTAGAAGTTTTCTCACCCCAATTTTCTTGGTAATATTTATTCACAATTCTGATTTTGTCTGAATTTCAGGTATCAGTGTGATGAGTGCTGCTGGGGCAATTTAAGACATCATTATTTGCACTGCCTCTCTGAGCGGGGAACTGCCTCACAGGAGAGCTGTCACAGTGTGTGCTGAGATCCTGCTTGACAACAAAGCCCAACTCGCAGATGGTCGATAACAATGTGTTTGAGTCAAGACATTGGATTGTGAAGAGGAGCAGCCAAAATGCAGGGACACATTTTCTCCTGCTGACTTTGCTAGAGGGATGGGAGCTTCAGCCCTAGGTGACAGCTAACAGCTGCAGAATGATCGCATCTTAAACTGAAGCAGCTGTTGCTAAGTGACTGAGCTAAATGTGGCATTTTAATTTTGCAAATTTCACAAATTAATTTGGTGTACAGGTTGTTATCACCTTAGCTATAAATATGTTTATTTTCTTTTTTTTTCCATCTATTTGCATTTAACACTGCCTAGCAATAACTGAGCAACAAAAATAGAATCCCCAACACTGTCTGCTTTCATTATTGTTTCCTAGCTGATCCTGTGATGTGATTTATATCTTGCCATCTGATTCCCTAATTGCAGTTTGCAACGATGAAGAAAACTGTACAATACTTGAATTGCAAGCCTGTTTCTGTTAGAAGCACATGAAATACTTATTTGAAGACCAATCAGGAAGCATTCAAATCTTCCTTGGTGACGTGGGCTACTTTAGTTGTGTTGCTTGCTTCCTTCTGGATCTCAGACATCAGGAGTAAGATTAGCCTTGCATTGTGAAAGTGCTTACTCGACATTTCAGTGCAGAAGGAGTACTGCCGGATTTTGTGATCCCACTTCTCTGCCAATTTCAAACAGGTTCATGCAGAACAAGCCTTGCATGCTGAAACCTGGTCAGTCTGAAACAGCGTGTTAGAACAAGAGCTCACAGTTGGACATACTTTGCTTTGGGGATCAGCGGAGAGTTTGGAGACAGATACAGATACCTTGCAACTGGATATCCATGAGAATGAAAGAGCTGAACTGAAAGAGATTAAGTAGCTCTTTGTACATTCTTCCCTGTGAAGTGTAAAGAACTGAGGGCTTCATTGTTTTGTAACCACTTAAAAATTAAAGGGGAAGAACACTTGCTTTAGCACGGTCCTCTTGAATATGGTGTTCCTAGATGTGCTCTTCCCAGAAATCTAGGCATATATGCTCAAAACAAAAAAACCCTCCACGCTGAGATTGCACAACAGAACACTGTCCTTTGCTTAACCTGAACGTTTCCAATTCCCTGTGAGCAAGGAGCTTTCCCACACTTTCAAACACAATCCACATACATCAGCAGTTGGCTCACTTTCTGCACCAGCCCTTTGAAAATTATTTACCTTAATTCTCTGGGCCTTTTTTTCTCTATGCAGCCAATTTGCATCGTACTGCCTGGGTGGGAGAAGGCCACCACCAGCAGACTAAGATTTGGTGTCCTGTTTTCATGCAGGATTGCTGTCTCTTAACACAAAGCATTTGGACAGAGGCTGCCAGTCTGATGCAAACAGCAATATGCAGTGTGTCTGGTTTGGTCCCCCTCGTAGTTCACCAGCCTGCTGACGATTAGATCTCTGTATGCCTATGCTGAGCCAAGTCTGTCCTATTAGATTTGTATTTCCTATTGCAAATGCAGTCTAAAGGAATGATCTACTCTGAGAAGAGAGCTGGGAGACAGGAACTCCTGAATTCAAGAAGCATAATTTCAGTCATTTTTTTGCTGCACAGCCTCAGGCTACTGGTTGAGTGAGCTCTTATCTCATTTTCCCCATCTGTAATACTGCTCAAAGGGTGCTTTGGTGATTAATTTATGCTGATGAATTTAATTACTTGGTAAGAATTGAATACTTTGATAAGAATTGCAACAGCTCCCAGAAAATGTGGCAAAAAGAGAAGCAGAATAGCCAGCCTTAAAACTGCTAATTAACAAACCCAGACGAGATGGTGAGACTCAGGGCAAGAAACCTCGGCGCAGAAAGTAGTGCAGTTACAGTGGTGCATTTTGTCTAAAATAGAGATCCTAGTTGAAATTATTCTTCCCCAACCGGTGCAATGTGATGTTTCTCTGATTTCAGAGAGCGTTTGACAGTAAAGTTAGACTGAAATCTCAGATTTGGGTTGTGGTGCCCTGTGAAAAGGCTCACCTGGTGCTATGATGTTATTTTGCAAGTCCTGCAGGTAGGAATGGGAACTTTCCTATGTGAAGACAGACAAAACTTACACAACTTGCACTTCCCTCACTTAAGACAACATATCTGCTCCATATTTTATATCTACAACATCATGCTATACAGTCAATTTATGAAGTTTTCCTGGGTCCTGCAGCCCAATCTGCAACTCATCAGTGGTTTGGAGAGCATTGAGATGTACATCATACCAAAGGAATTCTGCAGGGCCAGCTCTCTTGGCAGGCTCAATGTGATCTGTATCTCCAGAGTAACTTTGGTGTTAGTGTGACCAACCAGTATAATTGAATTACCAGCATCACTGTACCCAGCCAAACTGTCCCTGAGCTTTTGCAGCTCCCTCTGTTGGATTAACCATGGAAGCAGCTCTCTAACTGGCAAAATGAGCATTCCAGCTCAGCATTTTTGGTGAGCCAATTTTACTACACACCTATACAAATTACACTGCTGAAGACCTTTACTTTGTACTTTCAATGCACTGTTGTTCAAAGCTGGCAGGAAATGTTTCAAAACTCTGTGTATTTTTTTTTCTAAACATTTCAGGCAGCTGCTCTATAATCTTTGTGTTATGATTCACTTAATTCATCTCGGACATGATGCAAATAGGTAGGAATGGAGAACGTTACTTCCATATTTTCACAGCTTCCTTGTGAAGCAGCAGTACGGATCACCCAGTGACTCCCTGTCTGTCAATGCTCTGCAGTTTTTGCTTGCTATCCATGTAACCCAGTGAGACAGAACCAGAGATAAGGAAAGAAACAGGGGAAGGTTTTCCTCTGCAGTTCATTCTCCAGAGCTTTGTTCAGTCCAGTTTTAAATGGCTCAAGCTACTGAAGTGATTCAAGCTCTGACATTTTGGCAGGGTGTGAAACAGTGTCTGGCAGAGGTGCTGTGACTGAAGGGCTGGTTTTGTTCTCTCTGAAATGTGTGGCAAACATCTCTCTAGCTTCAGTCAGAACAGGATTGGGTCCTGGGAGTCATGCAGTGTGAATAAGCTCAGCAAAAGCAGCAAAAGAATTTAACTGTTACACCATTACATTATATAAAGCCCTCCAGGCTGGCCGTCCTCTATTTATTTGAGTGTCCTCATATGTAGTGAAAGCAAGAAAAATGAGCTGATTTTGTTAGATTTTGAGTAATGAAATAGCCCTAGATTAGTGGTCCCTGTCTGATGTCTCATTCAAACCACTGCATGCATTGGACAGCTTTTCTTTTTAGACACTGAAGTGGAATCTCTCCAGAGATATACTTTTAAAAAATCAACACAGAGGGAAAAATAATTGATTTTTAAAATTATTTTTATTTCCTTTCTAAGACAGCCCCTTACATTTGGGCAGTCCCAAATGAAAGGTGAATTTATTGCAGTCTGATTCACTGCTCTCTTTCAGAGTCAGTTCCCTTGTTGCCTTGATGTTGCAGCTTTCTTTTCTATTTCTCCCTAATTATGAGTAAAAAGAGATTTAATATACATAGGTGGATTAATTTCACTTTCAGCATTGTTACTGTGGATTTCTCCCTGGCTCAGCAGGAATTGTTGATTTCCAGTTACCTGTAAATCTACTGTGTTTTTTCCAGATGTTCACAGACAAGGATTTCTTGCACCACTGGACTGTAGTAAAGTAGACAGAATAAAATGGACAGAAAATTACAAGAAAGAAAAGCGATTCTGAGTGTGTGTTGTAAAACCATTCCAGCTCTGTATGCTGGATCCTGGAAGGAAAACCTGTCACAGATTTGACTGCTGGAAGCAGTGTTCTGTGCTGCAGCAAATTTACCCATTTTTGAGTCTCGCTTTTTGTCCCCGAGGCCAGGAAAGTCCAGATCTGAGAGCCAGGCCATGCTGTGGGCAGGGCAGCTGGGAAAGAGACAGCAACCATAGCACACCCTGTGATTTCTGCAGGTATGGTATCTTCCCAGTCTAAAGGCATGCTGTCATGTGCTTAGGATGTTTGTCTGCTTTCACCATTCTACTTTCCATGCTTCCTGTGCTGTCAGCAAGTTCCTTCATGCTCCAAAGACCCAAGTGAATGGGCAGTATTTACGAGCTTCCCCTCTTCCCCCCACCCCACTTCTGCCTACCTCGCAGTGGAGCCCCTCTAACTCTCCTCCAGTGCCTCATTCCTTGTTTGCAGCTCTGCCCAGATGCATAGAATTTACAAATCAGATTTGCTCTTGTGATTTCTAGTCAAGATGGAGCACTGAGGGACTCACTAAGGGACTGTCTAGACTACATGTACATACCAAGGGTTGGCTGGGGGGAATCAGGAAAGAGAAAGACTTTTGAAAATGAGGTGAATGATGAAATGAATGATACAGGCTTGGAGGATGGAGGGGAGGACCAAGTAGGAGTAGATGTTTTTAAGTGGCTGAGGAAGAATAGAGGCAGAGATGGGCTTTTTTGACTGCAGAGAGAAGCTCTGATATTGGATAAAGCTGAGAGATTGAAAGAAAGGACATTCTGAATGTCATGGTACTTTTTGAACAGGCTGATGCTGTTTGTAATATCTGAAGGCAGGTTTTCAAGTTACAACATTTGTTTTCCTCAATGTAGGCTTAACATGTAAATGGTCAGATTCTGGTGTGAATTAGCATAGCTCCAGTGACTGACCCAGCGTGGTCAAAAACATATGAGGAGTTGGGGGAAGAAAGCTTAGACATTTAAATTTGTTTTCTACAACAGGATTACCAATGGCTGGAAGTTTTCAAGAAATGAAGCTCTTCAGATCACTGAGAAAACAAAGTTCAAGTCAAAACCAGGAACCAGTACACCTCCACAGTGCAGGACAAATCTGCCCATCTCTTTAAGCTTGAATTAGCAGCTTGCCTCAAAACTGGGATGTAAGTACTTAGATTCAGCTGTTAGCTAATGAATCAAAGACTGAGCTCATTGTTAAGCCTTTACCCATCTGTATTTTATGACTTCCAGAGCTACATAAGGCTTCCAGAACCAAATAGCCACTTGTGGCTTCCCTAGTATTCATCCTTACTTGCTGACTGCTCACCAAGGCACTGAGTGCTCTTAGCTGTCACTATGCAATTTCCTGGTTAAAACAGATCTGGAATGTAAAAGTATTCATCACCAGAGGTTTTGCTGGATTCCAAGGCTTCAGTGAAGCAGTAAGTGATGATTTAACATTGGAATGACACAAAGATTCCTCTGGGTTTTTAACCAGCTACAGCATAGCTCAACAAACAAGAAAACCCTTAAGGAGAACCTGAATGATTTGGGATGTAAGTGATAAAGAGCACAGTAGGTTATAATTACTGTTACACCTGAACCACACAGACCATGAATCTTTACCATAGTCCTCTCAATACAGAAATGAAGGCCCAAGTGACACGTGGGACCATCTCTGGTATGATGCTCTAGCCTTTTATCCAGAATGAAGAAACTGGAGATAGCCAAATACTGAGAAACGGTACTGCAGAAACTGCAAGTGCCTAAGCTGCGTTTTCAAGTTGGTAAAACTGCAGACAGCTGTAAGATCCATTGTAATTCAGAGCCAGGTTTGCCAAAAGGGATCTTATCTCTGCGTTTGACCTCACTCTAGGCAGCAAAATCTCAGCAAATCAAAGTTGGAATTCGAACTGGCATAAGCTGACCATTTTCTGACATTGGAACACTCTAAAAGGTATGGAGAAAGCTAAAGATTGCTGCTCCTGTGCATGCATTCATTAGAAATAGGCATTTGCTCTTGAGCATCATAGTTTTGCACCAAGAAACACAATTTTTGCTGCTTTAATCTATTATTTTATCTCAACAAAGTGGAATGAAAAGGAGATGGTTCTGATTTTGAAGTGTTTTGTGCATGTTTTGCAGAGCTGTATAAGTTTATATGATACATAGAGCAGTGATGAATCATAGTCCAGTTTCTTCATCACTTCACACCACTGTAAAAGCATTATTTTGCTGGATTTAATTCTGATTTACTGGTTGAGAGACCTCGAGATGGTAGAATGCTGACCTACTGTCACCTTCAGTTTTGCTTGCTATTACTTGCAACTTTTCAATCTTGTTAGCTAGGTCTTTGGCTGAGGAGCTTCCCTTCCCTTCCCTTCCCTTCCCTTCCCTTCCCTTCCCTTCCCTACCTTTTTCCAATCATTGCCTGACTGTTAAGTCTTAGAGATTTGTCATTAAGTTTCTCTCTATTTGTGACAATTCTTCAAGATATTCATGATCTCTGATTCCTTGTAGGCTGAGGCCAACTTGTCTGTAATTGCTCGAGTAGGTTAAAGGAGTGGACAGATGATTGCAGGTGATTAAATCAGTTCACCACAGCAAGTTACTGTCCCTCAGTCCTGTGACTTCACATGCCCCTCCATTCCCTGTGCATCATTTCAATCTAGGCCTGGGGATTTGATCTGCCTGAAAATCTTACTGGAAACTTTAGGTGGAGAAGTTTGCTGATCCCTCCCAGGTGCACACAGCCACGCTGACACAATGCAGGGAGCATAGGAGCAAAGATGCACAGCATGGTATGAACCATCAATGCTGGTCTCGCTGAGAATAAACTTCTTAGAGAATAAACTGTCAGGCTGTGCCCCACAACATCTGGGCTCCTCTCTCTGCTCTACATCTAAAGTATAAAAAAAATGAACAGTGTTGGTCTTTGAGGCCAGGACTGGTCTCCCACAGAACCCTTTTTCACCCATATTGAAAATGGGAGACCCTTTTGAGATATAAGAAAACCCTTTTTACCCATATTGGAAAAGGGCCATCTGAGTTTATCCCGAGTACAAGGCAAGATGAATCATTTCTATGAAATTCCCCCTGAGCACTTTCTCCGCTCTGAGGACTTACAAGGCAAATAAATGATCTGCATTTCACTCATTCCTCTCTCAAGTACAAATTCTGGTTTGCAGCAGTAGCTCCCTGTCCCATTCTGCCACAGTGCATGGACATTTCAAACAGCCCTTCTGCCAAATGTTTGGGAATCCTCTCTGAAACACGGTAGAGAAAGAAGTTCTGAGATCTGGATACAGATATAAAAGCAGCCATAGCAGGGGCTATTAGAGCAATCCACGGGCTGATTTTGGGCTAGGCCTTAGGCCAGCCACTGCCAGTAACCTGCTATCACCATTCTCCATTTCACTGCCAGGTGGTTAGATAAATGTATTTGGTTAGATATCTTGCAGAGAGGACATGCTTAGGAGTACCTTGTACCAATCTCCTGCCTGCCTTCAAAACTTCAAAACAAAATTATCAGGGTGCATCCTTGTTTCTTAAGAGGATTTCTGATATAGAGTACAGACAGAGTCACTCTTCAGGACTCGGTTTGGGATGGAAGAGGAGCTGTGCTCATTTCTAACTTCAGCTCTGTGTGCTTCCTTTGCAGTATGGAATTTGAGCTCAGCTGTGCAGTTTTCCTCACTGCAGTGATCATGTAGGCATGACTCCCACTTACCTGGGGGTTCCTGTATCAAGGGGGAAGTAATTTTAAGCGTGATTCTAAGCAGATTGAAATCAGCTCTGCTGCACTCCAACCTTCCCTGCCACTCCTTGTGTTCTCACTTCCTCTATTTGTGTGTTTCAGTCGGATTCATTTATTGCTGCTGAAGTTCCCGAACAAACTTATCAGGGGAACTGATAAACGTTGATACAGGAGGGAAGGGCAAGGCTGTGCTGCTGTATACGGGCATGCTGTGCCAGTGTAAGAGCAGGTCTGATGCGGTGACCTGCATTATTTCCCTCCCATGTATCTACCTGCTCCACTTAGTGTGTGACATCTCTATGTCTAGACGGCCTCACCGTTTCCTGTTCCTGAATGCCTGTGATCAAGTCCCATCTCTTCTCCTCTCCCAGCAGAGCATAAGCGTGGAGCTGAACACTCCTGCTAACTGTGGGGATAAGTTTCCTGTGAGCTTTACATCGTGGGGAGAGCGAACCCCAATCTCCTGCAGTATGAAGTAACATCCCTGCGATACGCACATCCTGCTGTGCAGCACAGCAGCAGAGCAGAGCCCGTTTCCCTTCTTTCCTTTTTTGGATCTGCGTGCACACGGTCCCTAATGGAGCCGGTTCTGAGATACCAAGAACAGAAACCAAGTCACTGCAGCGCCTCACGACTACCGGCGATCCCCTTCCTCGTCGTTATCACCGTAATCGCGAACCATCCTTGACGCCCCTCACCAACAGCAGCTCCAGGTACCGGACACCGAACGATCAGCCCATCTCAAAGCTCCAACACAACCCACCGACCCCAAACTTCTCCCCCAGCTCTGGGCTGCCCACCTTGGTGGAGGGGGCGGACCCTTGGACCCCTCCGGAGCCAATGGCAGCGGGGAGGACGCGGGGAGGCGGCGCCGGGCGGCCGCGGGGAGCGGGCAGGGCAGAGAGCGGGCGGCACCTTGCAGCGGGCGGAAGGTGAGTGCTGCCGGGCCGGGGATTTCCTCCCCGATTTTTTTCTTTTTCTTTTTTTTTTTTACAACTGGAAAGTTTGCAAAGAGGTTGAGCGGTTGGGTTCTTATTTTTCTTCTCTCTCTCTCTTTTTTTTTTCTTCTTCCCCTTTCCATTCAATTTAAGAAAGGGGGTGGGGGTGAGATTGCCTCCCTCCTGCTTTCCCAGCTCATTCATTTAACAAAGGGAGTTGTATCCAGCCTCGGGCTGTGCGATCGAGAGCCTCTTGCGGTCTCGGGGTAGAGGTTGGAGGGGGGGAAATCGGGGCTCAGCCCGCGCCTGGTGCTGGCTGTGGCTGGAGGGGCTCTGGGGGCTGTGGGATGTGGGGGGGGAGAGAACACAAAGAGTTGAAGAGCCGACCCCGTGCTGAGTGATGCAGCCTCGGGCTTTGTGTGTGGCTCTATGGTAGGGATGCAGACGTGGGAGCGTGTTTCTCCTTAGCCCCCTCCGTTCCGTGTGTGAGATCTGTTGTTATTCAAGATCTTAACGGCAAAGCTGAACTTAAGATCGTGGCACGGCTTGGATTGGAAGGGATCTCTTGAGGTCTCCGATCCAGCCCCCCCTCCGGCTCGGATAAGGGAGCGAACGGCAGCGAGGAGACCTTGCGAGTTGGGTGGCACCTCTGGGTGCTCCTCGGAGCCCCAAGGAGAGGCAGCACCGCAGGGCGAAGGGCAGCAACTCTCGTCCTTTCCTCAGTGCATGGAAACCCGCAGCTCTCCCATGCTTGCAATCCTTGCTTTTGCTGCTTTTGTTATCCAAAGGGCTTAAAATCCACGATTAGTGGGAAGAGCTGGCTCCATCCGTGTGTGTGTCACGGTGTATCTGCTTCTGCTGGGCATTGCTTGATCCTTACTCAGACATTACCTCCAGCAGCAAGATTTTTAAATAAATAGATGTCAAGACCTCTGCTTGTTACCAGCTGTAAGGCATGTACTTTAGGTGGTGATTAAGTACACTGTGTGCGTATGTAAGAACAACTGTAGAAGCTGTTTAGTTCTTGCCAAGCTTTTTAAAGTGAAAGCAGACATTGTAGCTGGTGAAATGGCTGTGCTGGGCACGGGAGGGAGACTGTTTGTTCTCCTTGCTTGCAATTACTCTTTGTACAGTGACTCACGGATGCCTTTCACTGAACCGCCTCCCTGCTTTCCTTACCTGGAGTTTCCTGGTGTTGCCTGGTGCAGCAGCGAGCATCACCCTATCTGCTGCTCTAACAGCCTTCCCGTTGTTTGGGTGCTTTTGTCTTACTCAAAGCTTTTTAGGGTAAGGCTGGAAAAACTCATCCGTGTGGAGCAGCTCATGTGTGTGTCCACTGGGTGGTTAGGCATTACTTTTCCCTCTGTGTTTTCACTGGGTTAGGCAGAAAAAGGGCTGTAAGAAAGAAGGGGACACTCTGTAACAGAGGATGATGTGAGAGAACAAGGGGAAATGGCTCCAAACTAAAAGAGGGGAGGTTTAGATTGGATATAAGGAAAAAGTTTTTTACATTAAGGATGGTGAGGCACTGGCACAGGTTGCCCAGAGAGGTGGTGGGTGCCCCATCCCTGGATGCAGTCATGGTCAGGCTGGATGAGGCTCTGAGCATCTGATGGAGCTGTGGTGTCCCTGTTCATTGCAGCACAGTTGGATCAGATGGTCTTTAGAGGTCCCTCCCAACTCAAATGATTCTATGATTTTATGATAAAATATACTGCTTGTCTATTGCTTTTCTGACTGCTTTGATTGCACTGGAAATACAAACATGTTGTTTTGCCCCAAAGATCTGTTGCATTATTGCTGATTCTTGTGGATTCTTTCTCAGATTTGTGCAGAGCTTTCCTCAACTTTGACTGCAAGTGCATGAATTACACCTGGTTTCTTAAGCAGTTTTGTTTTTGTTTAACTGAAGATATGAGTGAGCTTCAGTGTGGCTTCTTTCTCTGTTTTGCACCTTCATAGGTGTGGGAAGTTTCGTTATTTTGTAACCATGGCTGTGATGGCCCAGTTCCCTTACATTCTTATGAGCATATTGAAACACCTATAAAAATAGACTTTTCTGGTTAGCAAAACAGAAATGATGCTGAGCTCCACCCTTCGAGTGGTCTGGGTTTACAGTTCATCCTGTCAACAGCAGGTGATAACAGAAGTAAATAGACTTCGTAAAGGGTCTGAAAGCAACCATGCTTTGTGAGGAAGTATAAGAAAACAGCCTGAGACCAAGCATCTGTAAACAAAAGCCGTATTTCTTTAAGTCTTGCATTGTTAGA